GGGGGGGGGGGGGGGGGGTGTCACGCTGCCCCCTTACACCGCGGGCACCCCCTTTCCCCCCCCGCTTTTCGCACTCCCCGGCGCCGGGAGCGGAGCTGCGCGGCGGCCCCTCAGGAGCCGGGCGTGAGGCGCTGGTGGGAGGGCAGGGACCCGCCGTGCCCGGGCCCGGGGGCTGCTGGGGGGGTGTGCGGAGGGTCCCGGTAGCCCGGGGGAGCCCATCACCCCACCCCGCATCCCCGCGGAGCCCAGGAACCAGCAGCTCGGCCCCCGCTCCTGTGCAGACCGTCGGGCAGAGGTCCCCCTCGTCCCCGGTGCCACTGGCTGGGCTAGGGGACACCTGGACGTGTGCCCAGCCCTCACCCACCGGGACCGAGCCACGCCTGCGCTTGAAGAATCTCCTTTTCCGAAAGCAAACCAGGCAGCGAACCCGCTTCCCTCCCTCCCGTGGCTTTATCCGGGATGAACGGGGCCGGGGAACGAACGCTGCGTCTGAGGGCATCATGTATAAATCTTGCAGGTACCGTCCGTGACACGCTCTCGGGTCCGTGTCACCCTTACGCCAGAACACCCGAAAAAAAAAAAAAAAAAAAGAGGCAAATCCCTGAATTTTAACAACTCTGAGGTGATTTCGGGGGGGTTTCCAGGCCACAGAGCTGGCTCTGATCTCTCTCCTGCGTGCCCATGGAGTCATCACCCACGGGACAGCGAGCCCTTGCTCCTGCCACACGCCGGCTGGAGCCCCGGAGTTCAAAGCCGATGAGCAAACCACGTCGAGTGGCCCCTTTCACCACCGCACCCACTCGAGACACACCCGCAGACACACTCCGGCGCTGCCCCACCGCCCTCCTTGCAGCACGTCCCCGGGGCAGGCAGGATAGAGAGGGGCAGAACCCCCTCCACCCCCACCCCTCCCGAAACAGGCTCTTTTCCCCCAAAGCCTCTGCCACCAGCCTTCTCCCAGCGCAGCTCTCCCGTGGCCTGTCCCTCTCTCTGCCCAGTGCCAGGGCATTTTTCGTTAAGCACCTTCCCCGAGAGCCAAGCCTGAAGGCTTTAGGAGGTGATGGGGAAGGAGAAGCGGGATCTCTGCTGGTGATCTGAGGATTGTCTGTGCCCGGAGAGGCTGGGGGAGCCCAGCCCATTCACCGTGCCCGGAGCCTTTCCCCCTTCCCAGGGCTTGCGGTGCCCGCTTTGGTACCAGCACAGCCGGGGTGAGCCCTAGGGAGCCGGGGCAGTGAATGTCACACTGTGCTGGTGGCACGGCAGCAGCAGAGCGGGGAGCAGAGGGATATTTTGGGAACGCACTCTTCCCAAACTGTTGGGGACTTGGAGCCTGCCTTGAAACCGTTCAGAACCAGCAGATCTTTGGAAAGTTTGCGAGCAGCGCCCCAGGGGAGGTAAGCAGACTGGTCTCGTACAGCCCTTCTCCCCCTCGTGTGCTTCGAGGTGCGAAGGCAGCGACACATCGCTCCTCCCCCGGTTCCCCGCCGCCCCGGTGCCCGGTGCGACGCCCGGCTCCGGGACAGAAGCGGTTCCCTCACCGTGCCAAGCTCAGTCCTCGCCCCGGCGGCAGTAACGGCTTCAAAGCCGGCCGATTCCCGTTTTGTACGTCTGACTTCGAGAAACGAGTAAGGAACGATCCCGAAGGCACAGCCTGAGGCGCAGGAAGGCTCCTCTCGCGTTTCCTAGGGCGTTACGAAAAGGAAACTTGCGAAAACCGGGAGCCGATACCAGCACAACCCTGTTCACGGCAACGCACCCGGGCCAGCACCGCCTGTGTCGCAAACGCCCTTCTCTCAATATTTGCCCTGCCCGGGTGTCCCACCCTCTTGCCCGCCGTGAGGGCCAGCGGTGTGCTCACGGGAACGACACCTCCCGCACCACCCTCCGGCAAAGAAAATACGTGACCAACGTCTCACACTTCGTTATTTCAACCCCCTGAGGGTAGGAACCGGGGGGGGACGACGGAACCCCAAGGAGAACACTGCCTCCCCTCCACACTCAACGGCCACACGACAAATCTACCTGGCAGCCACCTTCACGGGGACCAGGAGTCGCCAAAGGTCTAGAGATGGGGCGGGGGACGGGGACAGGGCAGGGCTGTATGCGGGGGCTGGCCCACCGGCCCCCACTCCCGACTCTCCGTGGGTTCACGCAATGTCCCCCTCCCCGAGAGAATAAAGGGAGGGCGCGCACCACGCACCCAAGGGACCCGGAGCACCGCGGCTTGCCCGGTCCTGCGGCCCTGCCTCTGCCGGGGGGCTCGGCGCTGCGCACACCCCGGCCCGAGGAGACTGAGCCCCCAGCCCCCGTCCCTGGCTCGGGACGGCGGTAAGGAGCGGCGGGCGAGGGGCTCCGCAGCGCAGCCGGGATCCGCAGCAGCTCAGAGACACACACACAAACACCTTTTCTATCCACGCACCCCTCCTGGCCGTCCGAGCGGCGGGTGCGGGGCGAGCGGCTCCTTTGCGGGCACCCACAGGGGACAGGGCGCTGCTCCCCAGCCCCCCCCACCACCGCGCCGGGGTATGAGCCCAACAGCACTCGTCCCTGTCGCCTCTCGGCGCCCGCCGAGCCCCCCGGGGAGGCCGTCGGGGAAGAACGGATAAAAGGTGGAGGTAAGTGAGCAGCACCGAGGAGCAGCGGCGAGGTCCGAGCTGGAGAGAGGAGCCAGAGGTGACAGGGGCGAGGTCCGCACCCCGCACGCACGCCTTCTCCAGAATCTGCTGCAATAGCTCCAAACCCATGTGGGTATTCCAGAATAACGAAATTTAGCTAAAGCTAAGGCAAAAGCGCAAGTCCCCTAAAGTCCCCAGGTCTCCTAGGTTTTCCATTCAGGCCAAAAACCCAGCTCTTACTCCTATGTTACCTGCATATTTCCCCTAACTCCAGTTGCTGAGCCAATGCCATGAAACCATAGGCATGGAAAGACAGAAGAAAAGCAGAAGGCTTTTAAAAGACCGGACCAGAGTTGACTCTGTATCTATGCAAACAGTGTTTCACCAGTAAAGGATTTTAAAAGTCACCCTATTGCAATTCCCGACCTCAAACGGCATTTTATTCAATTGAAAAAAATAGCATCTTCTCGGTTCTTTTTTACCACTGAAAGCATAATTTAAATTAAGCTTGTGTACAGTATGACCTTGTGGGATTGTGTGTTTCCTGGGTATAAACTTTTATACAACTTTTTTGCTCTGGAGGCGAGGGGAGGAGGAGACCCGCACGCCTCCCTGGGGGCGTCAGGATGTTGCACCGCACGCCAGACACCGGAGGACGAAATCCGCTTTGCGGGGATGTCTGCGGGAGCTCCTTTGCTCTCCGCGGGCCAGCAAAGCCCCACCAGCCCTCACCGGCTCCGGGCTGCGCCCCGCAGCACCCCCCGGCTCCCGGAGGCAGGTGCCCGGGACCCGTGCGTGAGGCCGATCAATGCGGCGGGGAGAAGCGCTCCCCCCTCGGCTCCGCTACCGGGGCGAGCGCGGCGCGGCGGGGCGGCGGCCCCACAAAAGCGGCGGGGGCGGCCCCGAGCCCTCGCACGGCCGGCGGAGGGGGAGGCACCTGCAGCCGGGGTCGGCACGGCTGCGCGCCCTCCCCTCCGAGCTGGTACCTGGGCGCTGGGCTGGTAATGCACCATAAAGAGCCTCTTTCAGGCTCTTTCAAGCCGAGATCGCGGAGGTCACCGTGTCTACAAACCCCCCTCTGTCGGCCGCTCGGGCCGGGGTGCCAGCGCGGCAAGCTGGAGAGCAGGCACAGCCCATGGGAATCCCAACACTTGTGCCGCCGGCTCCCCCGGCCCGCCCCGCTCCCCCGCTCCCCCGCCCCGAGGAGCTGCTGAATGTAACAAATGAGCTGCAATCGATCTGCGGGCACGGGGGAAAATCAAATTATATGGTGCGGCTGGCTGGGCGGCCGCGACCGGCGGCGCAAGGTGCGGGCGGGCGGCCCTCCGCCGGAGCCATCTCCCACCCCGCACCGCCCCGCCCCGCTCCGCTCCCACCCGGCCCCGGCCCGCTCGGCTTCGCCTCCCGCTCCCTGGAGGGGCCTGAAAGGCGAGCCCAGGTTGCGGGGCTGCGAGGGGCTCACCCCGGCCCGCGCGCAGGTTGCGCGGTCTGCGGAGGCGCGACCAGCTCCTGCAAAGCGCCCTGAAGGGGGGCGGGAGGGAAGCGGAGGTGGAGGGACTGCAGCAAGGCCGTGCATCAAAAGTCTGTCCTCCAAAAGTCTGTCCTCCCCTTCTGGTGCCGCTTTCGGGTCCCCTCCCCGAGCTCCTCTCCCGGGCAGGCAAAGGGAGGCAGCCCCGACCCGACACCCTGTCCCGCACCTGCGGAGCCCGGGGGTACGGAGGAGAA